TAAGAACATCATCAGACTTGGGAGAGGCAGTTGAAAATGCTCCTAAGCAGAGAATAGTTTATGCACAGAATTAAGTCTATGAGTAGGTGCTTAGTAAATACTTTTTAGACGAATGATTAAATTAATTATTTAATGTAAGGTTGTTAATCTTTTTAATATTTATTTTGCATTCTTAACGGCAGTTTTTTATGTTTTAGCATGGAACTCCTCCCCCCAAAAGCTCTGAAATTATGAAGTTGAATCAGTGACAAAATATGGCTTGACCTCAACAGTTAGTAGAAGCATTTATTATGAGGAATGCAGTATATGCGTGTGAATTCAGTGTGAGGTAGAGCCCTTCTGTTCTTTAGTGTAAACTTAGTATTGTTGGTTGTGGACTATGTTAACTCACAACTCAAACTTGATTATTGTATGTTTCACAGAGTGAAACAAGTGTTGGCTTTGTTTTGCAGTGGGTACTGGGATCACTGAAGTTTTGTTTGGGTTAACTGTTTTGAATTTATTTTATTCATTCCTTTCACCTTCCCGTATGCTTGAACCATTCTTAGATGGCTCACGCTGTCCTTTAACTCTTAACTGTATTTTGCCACACTTGTTTTTGAGCTGCATTGGGTAGATTTACCTATGCTGTTGAATCTCAGTTGCTCTGTTGGGTGTGTATGTGTGTGTGTGTGTGTGAAATAAAAATTTAGTTTTCTTCTTTCTTGATAGATTGTCAGCAGTTACTTTTTGTTGTAGGTATGTTCGCCTCAAGTTAACCATCTTTCCTTTCTGGTCATCATCTTCTAATATGATCTGAATTTTGTAACTTGTGTAAAACAGTATCATGGTGAAAAAAGGAAAAGAAGATATTGTTTATGTAAAAAGAATATATGTGAATTAGTGCTATGTAGATTACCTGTGGAAGGATTCCTAAGAAACTAGTAACCACAGCTTCCTTAGAGAGAGGAATTGGTTTGGCTAGAGGATAAAGGTAGAAAGGAAACTTAACTTGATTACCATGTGGGTATACTACCCATTCAAAACAGAAAAAAATAGACTGAATGTGGGAAGTAAACTTCAGTCAAGGTCAGGTGGTCTAGGAATGTCTAGCCCTTCAGCAAGGGCTCTGGACATTCCAGGGAGCTGACTGTCTAAGATGTGGGCCAAGCCATTAACTCTGCTTCTCCTTTGAAGAGGTGAAAACAAAAGGTCTTTACAGCAGGATTGTTCTTAACTATGTAGAGAATTTGATTCACAAATTTAGGGCAAAAATTGGTTGAAACTGAGTATGGTGGTACTCAGATCTCAACACTCTGGGAAGTTGGGGCAGGAGATTGAAAGTTCCAACCCAATTTGGGCAATTTAGCAATGTAAAGAGACTATCTCAGAAGGTAAGGAAAGGAAAAGCAAGCAAAAATTAGGTGAGCTTTTCACTAGATGAATATAGTGTTGGTGATCTGATAGCCCTGAGGGACAGATTTTTTTTTTTTTTTTCCTTGTCTTTTGGCAACAGTTTGCTATGCAGTTCAGTTCAGGCTGGCCTTAAACTGACTTTGTAGCCCAGTCTGGTCTTGAAGTCTCAGCAGTCCTCCTGTCTCAGCCTCCCAAGTGCTGGAATTACAAACGTATACTGCCATACCCAACTTGAGGGTCAGAATCTTAGTTTCCTAGTAAAACTCATGGGAATTCTTCAACACACTTGCTGTTGAAAGGAAAACTGATTCTTGGTTTGGGTTTATAACTTTAGCCAAAAGTGATAAAATTTGCTGTAGAGCCTTAATTTTGTAAGTATTTTGCATCAACAAGTATGTATTGAACTAATTAGGTGCAATATTTTAGAAGCAATCTCTCCTTTCATTTATGGGCTTTAATCCATACTTTTGTTAATATCACTAAAGTTAGGTTTAGGCCATTACAAACTTTGGGATTGTGTGCCTCAAAGGCAGTACAATTTTGAGTGTGTATTTCTGGACCAGACAAGTTTGATTATCATCGTTCTACTAAGTGATGCTGTTATTTTCCAGTCCTGATGATAATAGTGTTTAATTCAGGATTAAGAGTGGAGTTCGTCTGTTCTGAATGCTGAGGTGCTGAACTTGTCTTATTTCTTCTTCCCCAGTGGCTCACCTTTGTCATCATCACCTTCCCCTCCTCCTTTTTTTTTTTTGTGGTAGTACTAGAGATTAAACTCAGGGCCTTGTACAACCATTGTTCAAAAAAGTCCATGATTTTTTTTTTTTTTTTTAGTGTGACATTCCTGGCTTTAATTCATGTTTTGTTTCTGTTTGCTTGTTTGGTTTTGAGGCAAGGTCTCACTATGTTGTTTAGGCTGGCCTAGAACTTACTATGTAGTCCAGGTTGGCTTCGAACTTGCTGTGATCCTCTTGCCTCAGCCTCCCCATGCTGGGATCACAGGGGTATACCACCACGCCCGACTAGCCTCATTTCCTATGTCCTGTCCTCCCACAAATCTAGGTATTCATTGTTCCCTTAACATGTACTAACTGTTTCCCTTCCCTGTCTTTGCTTTTCAATGTTCTGTCTACTAGAAAATCCGCTTATCTTTCATCTCCATGTGTTCAGCTTCAGCTGATCTTTCCAAACCTCAGGTATAATGTTTCCCTTTCCATGAAACCTTCTCTGATCCTTCGCAGCTGTAAGTAGCCCCCAAACCCTATTGCACTTTTCTCTTGGGATACATGATGCATTTTGTTTTAAGATTTTTGTATGTGGTGAATTTTACCTCCTTGGGGAGACAAACCGCTCCTTGAAGGCTGGGTTCTAGTATTAGACATCACTGTAACATGTACACATCTAACTGTATACCTTCATACAATAGTAGGAGCTTATTTTATGTCCACTGAATGAATTGTTCATCACTTTCTTGAGAGTGACTTTGTGTTATCTTTGCAAACGAAATAACCACTTGAGCTGAGTGTTATCTGTAAGAGCTATGGAATAATTATACTGTGAAACCAAAAACCCTCTACCCCATTATATATTTAGAAAGTTATGGCCAGAGAAAAATCTGTGCCTTTTAAACCTCATAGGGCAGGTGTATTAACAAACTACAGAATTTTCAAATAAATGAAGTATTCCATTACCTCACTATTACTGTTGGTGACTTGGCCTCTGATGACACTTAAGCATCAAAACACAGTGTCTTTTCAGAGGAAAGACTGATGAATGATTTGATTAACTTAGAAAAGTATTACAAAAATGAACTGCTGAACTTTCCCAGTTTGTTTTTGCCTTGGATTATGCTCTGTATCAGTGTGGTGAACCCATAACATGTGCGCTACAGGAGGCTGTATCATTGCCTGTATCTCATAAAATAGCCCAGTCTTTTTGCATAGCCTATCTCATTGTTGTATCAAAGTGCCATTTCTTAGACACACACTGGCTCAAAGGTAACATACTGAGAATCACAATAATGAATCCCACCAGATATTTGGTAGTCAGCCTTATGTCAGATGGCCGTACTCCGCCAGGCGTCCTCCTGTGACCTCAGTCACTCCTGTTAGGAATTTTTTGTTTTTGTTGTTCAGTTTTGAGTAAATCTTTCTCCTATGGTTCAGTCTTTGGTTTTGATTTTAATTCCATGATATATTTTGCTATCATTTTTCTATAATTGTTTATCTTCTGGTTATTTTCTATCTTCCCCTTCTCTTGTTTTTTAAACTTTATCAGTTGACACGTGCAAAGTATGCATATTTATGGGATAGAATGTGATATTTTGATTAAAAAGTATACATTATATAATGATCAAATTAGTAATTAACATATCTTGCCATATATATATATATATATATATTTTTTTTTTTTTTTTTGTACTAGAGATCAAACTTGTGACTTCATGCTTGCCAGGCAGGCGCTGTGCTGCTGAGCTATGTCCCTGACCCACCGGATATTATTTTTTGGCATGAGAAAATCCAGACTCCTCTCTTCTAGCTTTTTTTTTTTCTTTATTCTTTTCTCTTTTTTCTTTTTGAGACAGGGTTTCACTGTGTAGTTCAGTTCAGGCTGGCCTTGCACTCATTTTGTAGCCCAAGCTGGTCTCCAACTTGCCGTAGCAGTCCTCTTGCCCCAGTTTCCCACATGCTGAGATTACAGATATGCACCACTGCTTGTGGCTTTCTTCTGGCTGTTTTGAAATATATGCATATAGTTAATTCTAATCACCCTACTATGTAGAACACCAGAACTTATTCTTCTATCTAACTGTAATCTATTGCCTCTTAAAATATAATGTCCAAAACTATGGTCAGTAGATTCTATTCTAAGTAAATTCTGATGTATGCTGAATAGAAAAGAAGTCTCACTTTGCACATGGAGAATATATTCCATTGATGTTACTAAAATCACATTAATTTTTTGGGCATCACCACTGTCCTCTTGACTCCTATTGAACATATATACCACTTAAACCTTTTTAAGGCTTTTTCACGTATAAGTAGATATCACTTAGCTGTCCTATACCTCTACAGTTGTGCTTTTGTTCCCAAGTATAGGACCTTAAGTTTGTCTGTGTTCAGATTCCTTTTGTTGGAGTCAGCCCATTAAAACTACCTTGTTGAAATGTTTGGGTCATTTAGCATTCATTCCTTCTTCCTTAACCTAAGAGCTGGGGTCACCTGTGAGCCACTACACCAGCAAAAATAAGAGTTTGAGAGAAGGAAAATAGTTTGCCCAACATCAAAGACTAGTCTGTAAAGCTAAGTATACACTATGCTGTCCAAAATAGTGACACTATCCACCTGTGATTATTGTGCACCATTGAACTAGTCCAAAGATCTCAAAGACTGGCTTCAAGAATATAAAACATCGCATTTTTACAATGCAAAATACTGAAATAATATTTCAGGTCTAATGAGTTAAATGAAATTACAAAATTAAGCTCCTTTAAAGAAGTAAGATCACTTCCAGTTTTTCAATTTAATGTCCTTTGCTGAAATCATTCCTTCGTGAAAATATATGATACAAAAAATATGAGTGGTAACTATCTTTTTCCCATCCAGGATGTGTCTAGTCCGAATGAAGCAGGAAGGCCGGAGTGGGAAATATATGTGTCAAATCATAGTTCATTTTATGTGGGAAGATGTTGAGCAGCGTGGCAGAATCATGGGGGTAAGTGCTTCTTTATTTTTTATTTTTTGGAACAAGGTTTTGCTGTGTAGTTCAGATTGATCTTGAACTCATTGTGTGGCCAACACTGGCCTCCGACTCATGATGATTCTCTTGCCCTCCTGCCTCGGCCTCCTAAATACTGGGATTACAGGCATGGACCACCATACACAATTTGCTGTCAGATACTTGATCTAGACAGTTCTGATAACAGATCACTTGATTTGAGTTTGGAAGTTTTCTTCTTTAGAATAGCCTTGTCTTTGGATTTCTGTAAAATGCTGCCTAATGTCAAAATGCAATTTAACGGTAGTCACTTTTTGTACCTTTGTGGAGAGTGGCACACCATAGATACTTTGTATGTTTTTACAAATTATTGTGATTTGTCAATGTGAGGATATACTGTGTGCAGAACTAGTAGTCAGGAGTGGAATTGGTAAATAGAGGGAATCAAGTATTAATCCAGCTTAAGGACACTTTTTTCTTGCACTAATTTAGTATTAGTCCTCCTTAGTTCTGATGGAAAGATCCTGGTATTGGGCCTACACTGTCTTTAGGAACTGAAAAAGTAGGCTTCTTGATCACTAGAAAACTTTGGCAAAACACTCACTGAAAATGTACATTTAACAGTCTGAGGAAGGAGAATACTCGTATGTCACATGAAATGTGATGACAACAGAAAAATGAAACCAAAACGTTGAAAGTAGGTTATATAAACAGTAATCTCTTTTGTGTATTTTGAGTGTCTGGCCCATGTTTTAGTAACTTGTAGTTCCTTTTGTTTCTCATATTGCCTCCAGCTTGTGAGCATCCAAAATAGAACCATCTGGGTCATGAAGTGGGTTAATTTGGTTTCTTTCATATTAGAGCAAAGTTCTTCTATGGACTGAGAGGTAAAAAATGTTTATAAATGTGTTATAAAGTCGCGTGTGTCAGAATAAAAACCAAACAGTGAAAAGCATTTACTGTGAAAAAAAAGTGTCTTTCCTAGCCTAACTCCTAGAAATAACCATTGTTTGTACTTGATGTATATCTTTCTAGTGTTTTTCTATACAAATATATAAATGTATATTCTTAAAAACATAGATGGAGTTACGCCATTCACACTATTCTGTGTCTTGGCTTTTTTCACTTAATATATATTAAATATGTTTTAACATTATTTTTTGAACTCAAAATATTTTAATTAAAGTTGAAATCCTTTAATCATCCATCTCAATTCCGGGCATTTTCCCCTTTCAAAAAATAACCACTGTTTCCACTTGTGTGTATCTTTTACAACTCTTCTAGGCTATCTGTAGAAAACAGATGATAATGGATTTTGTGTGTTTTATTATACACATAGTGTTCATTGTCTATATTCACAACTTCCTTTTCACTCAATAATGTCTTGGGAGGTCTTTCTGTGCTGCACAGGAATTCTTCAATCATGTTTTACTTTTAGTATAAATATTTTCACATGCTTCTGTGCTATTGGCTATTGTTATTGGTCACTATATGCAAAGTTACAATCTTTGAGAGTACATCATGAAGTTGATGGTTGCCTCTTGGGAACCTGGGTTGAGGGTTTTTCAGATTCTGTCTTTGAAGAACTGCATGTATAGGCTTTAGGTATTTTCACAGACATTTACATGCCATTCTCTGGGACAACAGACCATTGGAATTTCCTTTTTTTTTTTTTTTTTTTTTGTCTTTTTGTCTTTTTTGAGATAGGGTCTCGCTATGCAGTTCAGGCTGGCCTTGAGTTCACTTTGTAGCCCAGGCCAGTCTTGAACTCTATGATCCTCCCACCTCAGCCTCCCGAGTGCTGGGATTACAGGTGTGAGCCACCGCGCCCGGCTGACCATTGGAATTTCTATTCATTATAGGAAAATTATAGTAAATACAAAAGTTTTAGCTGTTATCATCACCACCACTAACACCGTCATTGTTACCCATTTTGGAGTCAGTATTGAACTCTTTTTAATTTGGTTCATTTAACTTTTCTTACTGTCATGCTTGCCATTTGTCTTAGCTACCCAGAGTAAGATCAGCAATCCTTAAGTTATTCATTCAGCTGGGTGTTCCATATATCCTTAGTACTTATGACCCAATTCTGTGGCAGCACATAGTGGACACAGAGTCATGTTGGACTTCTTAAATCATCCCATTTTATGGTGACCAGTGATATCCTTTGCCCAGTGAAAGGCTTGACTGACTATTTTTCTTATCACTATTTGCTAAAGTCTGCTGGAAGTTGGGCCACTAGAGCCATGTGGGCCACAGCTGTCTCATCCTGAATAGCTTAATAAACCATAAATTGCTGACTCCTAGACCACAGAAGTCTTATAATTGTCCCTCTGCCTCACTCTGTGAATTTCCTTCTAGGACCTCTGTATACCTTTCTATGCAACATTCAACACTTTGGGCCTTCTGTATTACTTTGTATTTATGTCCTTTCTACTTAACTGGAAGCTTTATATAAAGAGGATACTGTGTTAATTAGTTTTTTATTTATGTCATAAACATTGAATAAATAAATGCTTGTCAACAGGGTGAATAAACTGAACTTCAGCCTCTGAAATTCTTTGGGGTTTTTTTGGCGGGGGGGGGGGTACCAGGAATTAAACTAAGAACCTTGCACTTGCTGGTCAGGTGCTGTTCTGCTGAGAAATATCCCCAGCCTTTAAAATTCTTTTTAAAATTTAGTTTATTTGGATTGGGGGTTTAGCTGAGCTGCATAAGTGCCTGCTTGGCAAACATGAGATCATAAGTTCGATCCCTGGCACCCCCCAAAAAAATATTAGCTTATTTATCAGATAAATCATGCTTGATTAGTCTGTGGTCCAAGTGTACATCAGTGGAACATTGCAGGAATTAATTCTCCCATTTTATCCAGCCTTTTTTTTCTGTTTGGATTATTGTATTTTAAGTTAGTATTTCTCAGATTTCAATGTGCATAAGTTTCACCTTTGTTCAAGTTCTTCTTCAGTAGGCTTTAGGAATGGGGCTAGAAGCTACAGTTCTAAAAAGTTTTCAGGTAATACCAGTGTTTCTAGTACAGGGGAAGGACAGACTCCTTTCCCCACCCTCCACAGTGCTGGATACTCAACCCAGGACCTTGTGCATGCTCAAAAGGTGCTGTCATGGGGCTATGCTCCCAGCCTGCAACTCTGTTTGAATAGCAAGATTTTAGTAATTCCTCTGGTACAGGATCTAAATTTTCCCTCATGAAGAGAAATGCCCAGGGTCTGGTTTACTTATAAAGACTACAATAAAGATAATGACTTTAAAATAATAGAAGTTTAGAAGAGTTGGGGAATTACTATTATTTTTCTGTTATAATAGACTTAATCTTCCCTTTCAGCCTTGTAGTATAACCATAGACACTGTATAGGAGTATTAACCACTTTTAAGTTGTGTGTGTGTGTGTGTGTGTGTGTGTGTGTGTGCATGCTTGTGTCTATGGAGGGTATCTTAGTCTTTTGTGAGTGTACAACCTGAAGAAATGGGACATGTAGCTGGACAAAAATGGGCAGTGTGGAGCAGTTTCTTTATTAAAACAAAACAAAAACAGGTGGTGTATGAGGGCCTAACTACATGATTTCCAAGTTTCTTCTCAGCTATGAAACCTATGATTTGAAGGTGGTAATTTGCAAATCTGTCTCTGTGTTATTTGGCATCCCAGGTGTACTTTTGTAAGAAAATGCATATAAAAAGTAAAATTTATGAAGTCAATTAATGTAGTGGTGATTTTTCTTATGCCAAAGGGTTCTTATGGGCCATTACTTTGAGTGAATTGGTGAGGGGAAGATGAAAACCAAGAGTGCCACTTGGGAATTGATAATAAATCAGAAATTTGAATCAAGAATGCCTTTGGAATTAGAATTCCAGTCAAGAACTATTTTGACATGAGTGTTCTAGTCTATAGGTGCGAAAAGTTTCATTTTATGAAAGTTTGCTTTTTATCAGCTTTTTAGGAGTCCAGCTATTATGAAAAATGGGGCAGACCAGTATATCATCAGTGAAGCTGGAACAAAAAGCAAGCGTTATATTTGAAGCTACAAAAGTCACATCAATAATTTAGAGGGTTCTGACTTTAAAAAATATTATTTGGGATTTAAATCTATAAAGTAGCTGTAGAAATAAAGTTCATTATATCACCTCATCTGGTCTTGTTTTATTTCATTAGCTAGTTCTTAAAAAACCTTTGTGAGCTGAGTTGCAGCTGAAGAGGTTGGAGACCATTTTTCCTTGGGCCCTTGCCGCACTCCTGAGTGTTGGTAAGAGTAAGAACTAAGACTTGACACAGCTGTAAAAACAGACAGCGCCTTTGGCCTCAGCACTTTCTCCTGGTGCAGGCAGATTTCAGATGTAAATTTCACTCTCTGCCTCTCCTAATGAAGTAAGTTTCTTTTGCTGGGTTTGCAGCCAGGTGTGTCTAGTCTTATGGCTAACTGGGTGCTTTACTTAATTTTTCCATTTGTGACATTTCAACCAAACTTAAAAAACAAACATAAAAATTAGCTCAAGGCAGTGGCTCAAAGTGTTAATGGTAACCTTAGATTGGCTAAGCGACTTCCTCTCAGTTCTGCTCTGCCAGACATCTCCACCTTGTGGCTTACAATGAGCAGGTTTAAACTTTCCAGGCTGTGGAGACAGAGATGGGAAGCGGTGGGGGTGGCTAGAGTTAAGAAATTGCAGTCCATCCTTATCAGTGGTACCTGGCATACCTGATGCCTCAGCAAAACTTCAGATGATTTCTTGCTAGTAGTATTCCAGAATAAGAATGGTCCTCCTGGGCCAGGGATTTAGCTCAGTGGCATAAGCACCTGCTTGGCAAATGCGAAGTCATGAGTTCAATCCCCAGTACCAAAAAAAAAAAGAATGGTCCTCCTGTTACCTCCTGGTTGCTTGCTTTCTGTTCCAGAGCTGCTTGATGGGATGGTGCAGGGGGAAGAAGTGGTAGAACTGTGGGCCCAAATGTTTGGTGAACTACTTTGCTTTTCAGAACTATTTTTTTG